TCTTTTTTTAATACTGCTCCGAGTGTTGTAGATATTTAAAATGCTACTTTTTAATGGGTAGTTTTATATTATATTAGAATATAATAAAATATACAAAATAAAAAATATAATAATGGACATCATCTTCAGAGGTGATAAATTTTGTAGACTATGCTGCAGGTGGTCAAAGTATTTGAAAGAAAAAAAATGCAATATTATTATTTTACTAAAATTGTGTACAATGTTACAATATCAGTAATTTTACAAAAATTGTGGAAATCATCTCCATGGTTAACCATTTTAAACATCTTATTCAGGTAATCCAGGTAATCCACTAAAAATATGAACATCGTCTTAACGGTTATTTATTTTAGATACTTTCGTATTTATGGTAAGTAGGATAATTGTATTCATGATAAATTTCGACACCATCTTCATCGTTAAGAATTCTGGATACTTAACCTAGGTATTCTAGGTATGCAGATCGTTGTAGAATTTTATTTTTTTCCAAATTTCACAAGCAATATGGACACCATCTTCATGGTTAAATATTTTAGATATTTCCTCCAGGTATTCCAGGTATATAGATAGTTTCAACTAATAAGTAATTCGAGTTTACAGTTTAATATTTTTAAGAATTGTCTTCAGACGACTATCCAATTTGATATGTTTCAAAATGTTTAAATAAGCGACCACCCGCCACTGTGCAAATGAGTTAGTTTTGTGAGCGCTCATGTTCGCGAGATATAAAATAAATCATAGGACAGGTACGATTTTAAGTCCGAACATTAATGTATCTTGTTGCCATGAATGTCAGTGAACGGTTTGAGTTGTGGGCAAAGATAATTGTGGTAGGACAAACCTTTACCAAGTCTTAGATTATCTTAATATGCCTAGCTTTTAGCCTTCCAAGTAATCATTTGTAAAATAGTCGTCTGAGCAATGTTGAAGGCAGTGTCGCAACAATCCGTTTCCTAAAGCACGTCGTTTTGTGGTCAAGAAGTACACAATATTTTTAACTACTAATAAATTACTTTCAATACGTTTATTATTAATTATACGGTTGTTTTACTATGATCTAATAATTTAAAATACCCGTGGGACATATTTGAAAATTACACCTTCGAAGATGGTGCCCACAATTTAATGAAATTATTTATAATTGAGTTTTACACCGATTAAGATACCTAGAACATCTGGAGAAAGTAGTTTAAAATTGTGAGCCATGAAGATGATGTCCAAAATTATTAATATCTAAAGGTTTTAAATAAAATTGCATACCTAGGAAACTCGAAAAGTTATCTAAAAAGGTTTAACTATGAAGATGGTGTCCATAATAACTACCAATTATTCTTGTAATATACTGCGCTTGTATGATCTAATATTATCCAATAACTACCAAATTTATAGATACCGGGATGTTTTACAAGTTTTTGGTGCATCTCTAATATTTGAAGATTTTACAATGTTTTGGACACCTAGAAAACCTGGAGAACGTAGTCACAAGTAATAGCCATGAATATGATGTCCAGAATTAGATATCTCTGAAGGTTTTAAATTAATTGAGATACATAGAAAATCTGGAGGATATATTTAATATTGAAATAAAATTATTAGTTTATAAATTATTGGATAAAATTGTATGAAATTCTTGTAGAGAGAAATACTTTATTTCCGTCTCTGTTTAAACCAAACTGCAACACTTTAATCTAAAAGCCGTATATTCTGATAAGGAAGTGACGATATTGTGTCTTTAAACCTAAGTTAAAAGCCATTAAAAGCGAATAAAACTGTATCGGGATCACCGGCTATGCTTTAAATTGCGTAGGACGTTTTCAATACTGCCTTTGACTTCTTTAATGGTCGATGTTTTTTTTTATGAGCAAGTTCAGTCGGTTTGTAGAATTTCCTTATGAAGGTAAATCGCTCGATTAGCATTTTAATATATATTTCGATAACCGGGTCAACGAAAACACAACAGAGTTGCCACATTTTAGATAATAGTTTATATTTTTTATATACCATAATTTCCTAATTGCTATAGGTTTTCTACCCATTCGGATAGAACACTTGGAGGAAGTACATGATAGGATTAGCTATGGAGATGTTATCCAGAACTTGCAATATTTTCAAAAAATGTCATTAATAACTTCCGAGAAAATTTTAAAAGGAGTAACTTCAAAAAACTGTTAAATTTCAAATTTTTTATTATGTATAGTTATGGCTTCGTAGAACACCTGGAAAGGATAGTTAAAATGGTAAACCATGAAGATGGTGACCAAATATATTTCATATTATAAAAATATCTAGGTGTTACACACATCTGGACAACTAGAACACCTAAAAAAGGCAATTAAATTGGTATACCATGAAGATGGTGTCCAAAACTATTTTAAAATACAAAAAATATCTAGGTGATATACACATTTGGATAACTAGAACACCTAAAGAAGGCAATTAAATTAGTATACCCTGAAGATAGTGTCCAAAAATCTTTCAAAATACAAAAATATCTAGGTGATTCACATATCTGGATAACCATAACACCTGACGAGAGCAGTTACATTGGTTAACCATGAAGATGGTGTCCAAAAATATCTTAAAATATAAAAAGAGCTAGGTGTTATACACATTTGGATAACTAGAACACCTGAAGAAGGCAATTAAATTGGTATATCATTAACATGGTGTCCAAAAACTTATCAAAATACAAAAACATCTAGGTATGTTACACGGATCTGGTTTAGTAAAACAATTAAAAAAGGCAATTAAATTGTTATACCATGAAGACGGTGTCCAAAAATCATTTGAAATACAAAAATATCTAGGTGTTATATACATTTAGATAACTAGAACACTTGAAGAAGGCAAATAAAAATATCTAGGTGTTTCACGTATCTGGATAACCATAACACCTAAAGAGAGCAGTTACATTGGATAATCATGAAGATGGTGTCCAAAAATCTTTCAAAATACAAAAATATCTAGGTGTTTCACACATCTGAATAACCATAACACCTGAAGAGAGTAGTTACATCGTTTAACCATGAAGATGGTATCCAAAAATATTTCAAAATACAAAAGTATCTAGGTGTTACACACATTTTGACTAGAACACCTAAAGAAGGCAAATAAATTGGTATATCATGAAGATAGTGTCCAAAAATCTTTTAAAATACACAAATATATAGATGTTACACGCATCTGGACAAATAGAACACCTGAAAAAGGTAATTAAATTGGTATGCCATGAAGATGGTGTCCAAAATTCTTTCAAAATACAAAAATATCTAGGTGTTTCACACATCTGGATAAGCCTAACACCTAAAGAGAGCAGCTACATTGGTTAACCATGAAGATGGTGTCCAAAAATATTTTAAAATACAAAAATATCTAGGTGTTACATATATTTGGATTACTAGAACACCTGAAGAAGGCAAATAAATTGGTATATCATGAAGATGGTGTCCAAAAATCTTTCAAAATATAAAAATATCTAGGAGTTACACGCATTTGGACAAGTAGAACACCTAAAAAGGGTAATTAAATTGGTATACCATGAAGATGCTGTCCAAAAATCTTTCAAAATAGAAATATATCTGGGTGCTTCACATAACTGGACAACCATAATACCTAAAGGGAGCAGTTAAATTGGTTAACCATGAAGATTGTGTCCAAAAATATTATAAAATACAAAAATATTTAGGTGTTACACATATTTGGGCAACTAAAACATCTAAAGAAGGCAATTAAATTTGCAACGATGGTGTCCAAAAAACTTTCAAATTATAAAAAATCTAAATGTTACACGCATCTGGACAAGTAGATCACCTGAAAAAGGTAATTAAATTGGTATGCCATGAAGGTGGTGTCCAAAAATCTTTTAAATACAAAAATATCTAGGTGTTTCACACATGTGGACAACCATAATACCTAAAGGGAGCAGTTAAATTGGTTAACCATGAAGATAGTCCAAAATTATTATAAAATACAAAAATATTTAGGAGTTACACGGATCTGGACAAGTACAACACCTGAAAAAGGTAATTTAATTGGTATACCATGTAGATGGTGTCCAGAAATCTTTTAAAATATAAAAATATCTGGGTATTTCACACATATGAATAACCATAACACCTGAAGAGAGCAGTTACATCGGTTAATCATGAAGATGGCGTCCAAAAATATTTTAAAATACAAAAATATCTAGGTGGGTCACGCATCTGGACAAGTAGAATACCTGAAAAAGGTAATTTATTTGCTATACCATAAAGATGGTGTCCAAAAATCTTTCAACATACAAAACTATCTAGGTGTTTTACACATCTGCATAACCATAACGCCTGAAGAGAGATGTTACATCGGTTAACTATGAAGATGGTGTTTAAAAATACTTCAGAATACAAAAGTATCTAGGGTTTACACACATTTTGACAACTAGAACACCTGAAGAAGGTAATTAAATTGGTATATCATGAAGATGGTGTCCAAAAATCTTTCAAAATATAAAAATCTAGGTGTTAGACATATCTGGATAACCATAACACCTAAAGAGAGCAGTTAAATTGGTTAACCATGAAGATTGTGTCCAAAACTATTTCAAAATACAAAAATATATAGATGTTGCACACATCTGGACAACAAGAACACATCGAGAAGATTATTAAAGTGGTATAACATGAAGATGGTGTTCTAAAATCTTTCAAAATACAAAAATATAGGTTGTTTTAGAAATCTGGACAAATAAAACACAGGGAGAGGGAGATTAAATTGGTAAACCATGAAGATGGTGTCCAAATAATATTTCTAAATATAAAAATATCTAGGTGTTATACATATCTGGACAGTTAGACAACCTGGAGAGGGCAATGAAATTTGGTAAACCATGAAGTTGATGTCCAAAAATCTTTCAAATTTTATTATCTGCCTACTTAGAGCACCTAGAGACAGTATCTTAAAAGCAGAATCACGAACAAGACGTTCATAATAAACACTTCTAACTACCTTTTCTTTTGTTTCAGTCGTTCTTTGGCAGAACCTACAACAACATCAGTTCGATATCGGAATGCAAGAACAACGGTCAATGCGTCATCAACAAGAAAAACCGCACAGCTTGCAAGGCCTGTCGATTAAGAAAATGCCTCTTTGTGGGTATGTCGAAGAGTGGCTCCAGGTACGGCAGGCGATCCAACTGGTTCAAAATTCACTGTTTGCTGCAGGAACAGCAGCAGCAACAACAGCAACAAGCAGGTAAGACCAAAAACTAAATAACTATTTAATACCTAAATCAAAATTAAACTTCAAATCCCAAGTAAATTTAAAAGTGTTCTGATGGTAGGATCAAAAATTCGGATTTCGTGAAGGAAATTGTCCAATATAACATCTAATCAAACAAATTCAGAATATTTGGAAATGCCAATCTCAAATACTGAGCCAAAGACTAAAATGTATACTCTTAGAAACATTCATAGAGTAGAAAATTAGTTCTTCGCACATAAACAGTTCAATTGTCCAACAGTTCATTTGTCCAATGTCAAACAGTATAGTCACCTAAAAGATATTTTACTGGAAGACATTTCCAATGAAAAACCGATGCTTTTGATTGGCCAAGACAATATATAAACCTGATACTAACTGAACAATTTTGTAGTGGGCCTGAAGATGCTCCAGTAGCATGAAAATGTAAGCTGGGTTTTGCGTTACATGGTCCAAACATTACAAATGATACAAATCTTAAAAGCAGTTGTTTATTTCATATATGTAATATGACTTGTTCACTAGAAGATAGAATAGAACAAATACTGAAGGAAAGCTTTTCCATTAATTTGGAATTGAAAATTCCAAAATCCGATGAAAAACAAGCTCTGGAAATAATGAAATAAACAGTAGAGGGAACAGAAGATAGATATGAAATAGGCCTATTATGGAAAGACAAAAATCTAGTTTTTCCAGCCAGTAAAGCTACAGTCCTCCAAAGACTTCGTCGTGTTGAAAGAAAATGTAAGAAAGACATGATATATCGAAAAGGACTATGCAGAGAAATTATCTCCAGAAGAAGCTTTCATTGAAGGTATCTCCCTACTTTCAGTTATAAATGTCAGCAAGAAAAAGACTAGTCTTTGATGCAGCTGAAAAGTCTAACAGAAAAAGTCTGAATGATTATTTGCTTGCGGGACTGGACTTATTATCCTCCCTTGTAGCTATTCCTTGGAAATTCAGACAGAAAAAATAGCGTTCGGTGGGTATATACACAAAACTTTTCACCAGGTTCCAGTACAGAAAGCTGTGCACAAAGATTTCTCTGGCGTGATTTGGAAACACATAAAAATCCAGAAATGTATCATATGAAGGTTATAACGTTTGGAGCAACATATTGTCCAGTATGTTCTTAATGTATTAAAAATTTAAAAGCTTAAGAGAAGATCCCGTTATTTGGAAAGGAATAATCGCCAAGATCTATGCGGCTACTACTTGGATTCAAAGGACACACCGAAATGGCCCTCCAAATAATCAACAAAGTAAGAAAGATCCATAAACTTGGTGGATTTGACTTAGTAAGATGGACAGACTTCTTACTGGACACTGTCGCCTCAAAAAACACATGAGTGTCATAAATCCAGCAGAAGAAGCAACTTTGTGTAGGTTCTGTGAAGAAGAAGAGGAAACATCATTCCACGTCCTATGCCAATGTGAAGGCCTGGCTGGAATGAGGTTTCTAACATTGGGCCAAGAAAAGCCAATTGCATGCAACTACATGGGGAGCCACTGTCAAAGCTACTAAGTCTAATAAAAAAGACCAGGCTAGACGACATACTCTAAAACAAACGGAGTCCCACAATAGATCTGAAAAGGTCGCAGTGGACAAGGACAAATAACGTCCAAATCCTAGTCTAATCTAATCTAACTGATATACTAGCTACCTCCAAAATCCTATATGAAGAAAACCTCGATAGAGTATTGGGCATGTGGTGGGACTCCAATAACGATACATTTCTATTTAAATTGAATAAAGACAAAGAATAGTTGCTAGAAGAATAGTCGACAATCCGAAAAGTTTTTGGAAAAAATGGATGCAGGACCTTAAAGAAATTACAAAAATTACCAATACCAGCTCAAGCCAAATAGACGTCTCCTTAGTCACCGCCAAATCCAGAGTAGTCCTTTCAAATCCCAATCATGTAGAGTGGAACTAGTTCTAAATCAGCTGAGATAAAAATTTGGATTAGAAACAGCTTTTCTCAAATGTCAGCTTTGCAGCAACAATTAAACAAAGCCAACGATCAGTGTTGTTCCTAGGGATTTTTCAATTGTACAACTTTTAATGTCAAAATTGTACACTTTTACGTTCGATTGTACAACCACTAATTAGTTTACTACTACCCGATGCTTAAAATTCTTCTTTTTCCAGTTTAAAAAATGTTCTTGATGTACAACGGTGTACTGATTGGTCGCGAATGGCGGCCAAATTCAAACATTATTGTTTTATTAATTTTAATGCATACGATTTACGATATACCAGATTTTACATAAATATTTAGCAACTTCAAATTGTACAACATTTCAACCTTTTTTCAAAAGTGCGTACAACCACATAACTGATTGTACAACTTTTTGTACAATTGTACAACCAGGAACAACACTGCCAACGATTCCTTTAATGGGACAAATTCCTTCAGTTATATTAACAAGAGAAAGTAAACCATTTGTGAATACTGGCATGGACTACTTTGGACCAGTGGCACACCCTTTGAACACTGATTCTACCCTCACGGTTCTCATTGCACGAAGAGGAGCCCCAAAAATTATCGTTTGTGATAATTTAACTAATCTACAAGTTGCTGCTGAAGCATTATGAACCAAGATTAATAAAAAAACAACCAATAAAGGACTGGGAGAGGCTGGGAGAGGCTCATTGGAACCGTTAAGAAGATGATTGGTAAAATATTATACGAGCAAATCATAAACGATGCAATTCTTTTGAAGCTTCTGGCCGAAGCAGAGAATATCGTAAACTTCAGGCCAGTAACCAAAGTGTTAAGTGACCCAGTTGATCTAGCAGCACTTACTCCGAATCACTTTCTTTTAGGAGATAAGAAAAATAGTCTATTTAACTCAAATCCTAGTCCAAATTGCCTATATCAAGACTGGAAAAAATCACAAAATTAACAGATTTGTTCTAAAATGGCTGTGTTAAAGAATACTTTCCCTCAGTGTCCTATCATCAGTCCAGTGAAAATGCGTAGATTTTTCCTGCTCCATTCTCGGATCTGAGCAGCGGCGTTCATACAAGGTTTGGTTATAAACGCCTTCGAATGAGTTGGGGTATCTCTCCAGTTCGTGAGTGTTGCACCCTCCGTCCATTATGAGATAATTCCTTTGGCAGTGCTCTTTGCAATGCCCAGGAATGGTTCTGGTCCTATGAATATAGATTCGGTTCCTCTTTTAGCAAGCGCGTCGGCTTTTACGTTGCCCTCCACACCATTGTGCCCCGGAACGCAGATCAAAGTAACGTTGTTCAGGGCACCGAGGCATTCAAGGGTATTTATACAGTTCCAAACTAGTCTTGAGTCAACTCGATTGGAGCTCAGGGCCTTAAGGGCTGCCTGACTATCTGAAAAGATCTTTAAAGTCTTTTTTAATAAACTCTCTTGCTCCCAATTCTACATATAGCTTGGAAGATCGTGGCCAGAGAGTCTAGGATTGTTGATATGTCAACTCTAGACCTCTGGCCGAAAATTCCCGCTCCTGCTCCTTTTTCAGTTTTGGAGCCGTCCGTGTACAAAGCATAGTCTGCCTGGGAGAGGGTTTTTTTCACTCTGCTCCATGCGTCTCTCTATGGAATGAGGACGCTGTATGGCTTTTCTATGTGCTGTCCGAGACCATGCCGAGGACGAGGTGGTTATTAATTTCACTCATCAGCCCCGTCTTGTACCATCGCAGTTCTTCGTAGCATTAACTGATTACCTTCAGGAGCCTGTAGGAGACCATCCTGGCCTCCCTTTCCAGCAGAATGTGGAGAGGGATTACGTCCAGCATGATCTCCATGGCTCCTGTAGGTGTACGTGACATTTCTCCAGTTATGGCGAGGCATGCAAGCCGCTGTATTCCAGCCAGCTTTGCTCTGGCCGTCTGTTGAAGTCCCTTGTCCCACTAGACGACAGAGCCGTACGTAACCATGGGTTTTACCACTGTTTGGTAAATCCAGTAGATCAGTTGAGGATCCCCATGCTTTGCCACATATCCTTCTAAGGGTCCAGAGGGATAATCTGGCTTTGTTAATGGTTTTTTTCCAATTGGGGTGCCAGGTGAGTTTCTTATCTAGGGTGATTCCCAGATATTTCGCCTCCTCCGCAAAAGGAATGATTTCCCCAGCCAAGGTAGGTTGTCGAAGCTTGTCGAGCTTTCTACTCTTGGTGGCGGGGACAATAATAGTTTTGCGGGGGTTAACAGACATTTGCTACCTCTCTCACCATCTGTTGATCGTATTAAGGGCTTGTTGAAGGATGTTGGAGAGTACTTCTTCGAACTTTCGCATAGCATTGGAAATCCACCCCCTGTCGGGAAAGATCGTCTAGCAGGTTATACACCAGAATAGTCAACAGTAGGGGTGAAAGTATGCCGCCTTGTGGACATCCTCTGGCAGGCCTAAAAGTGATGAAGTGATGTTCCAGTTTGCCAGCATGTTTTTGATCCATTTACAAGTTAGTTTGTCGATTTCTCTTCTTTAAATAGAAGCGAACAAAGACTGAGGAAGGGCGTTGTTGAATGCGCTTTCTAGGAAGGCACCTAGCGCAATCTCCCCGTGATTTCGGGAATGGCAGATTTTGCCTACTAGATTATGCAGGGCATGACCTGTCAATTTTTTTTGGTAGGCATATTGGAAAGAGTTTAACGGGTTTGCCAGAAGGCCTCCTTCTCTAATAATATGCCTCTAGAATCCTTGCTAGTGTTTTTAAAAGAAAGTATGTTAGGCAGATTGGACGATAAGAGTTTGGTAGGGAGGTATCTAGTCTACCAGCCTTGTGTATATACACGGCTTTCGCCAACGTCCATCCTAGCGGGATATAGCTCCACGCCTGGCTTGCTCTAAACAACCTTACAAGGAGGGTAGCAGGAGTTCCTGTCCTTTTTGCAAAAAGGCAGGAAAAATGCCATCCTCTCCGGGTGATTTGAAGGGGGAGAATGAATTCATCGCCCATTTTACGGAATTTGAAGAGACAATTTGTGCAACAAAGTTCCAGTCCTCCTTTTTGGGTCGTATAATCGATTTCGCTAAAGGAAGGGGTACATGTTGCCTGTCCTCCAGGATTCGACTACCTGGGTAGTGTTTCTGTAGAAGAATTTCTAAAGTTTCCTTGCCAGAGTCCGTATAAATGTTGTCCGGTCTTTTTATCGAATCGACTTCCTGTCTCGGATCTGGTATTTGCAGGTAAATCTGATATACTCTGACAGAACTTCCTCCACGATTCTCATTTGGCCTTTCTGATAGCCTTGTTGTACTCCGTTAGAGATTTGCGGTATTTTACCAGCAGCCAAATTCTTTAGCTCGATTGAAGAGATGTCGAACTTCTTTTATTTTTTGGTCGAGGCTTCTGCTCCACCATGAAGTACCACTCAGGTCTCTTCTCTCCTTTAGTGGGCAGTTGTCCTGATAGGCAGTAATAAGGGCATTTTGAATTTGATCATTCATACAGCATGTCAAGAAAGATTTACTGATTGTCAGGTGACTAATCATGTGACTAATTTGCAAGCAAGAATTGAAGGATATTTTTTGAAGACATCAATATTTAAACCATTCACTGTAAATTATAAGGACATTGCGTTAAGAATTTTTCAAATTAATTTAAGACTCGTTATCACTATTATATTTTACATCGAGAAATGCGTCTCTAACTCACATTGCTGGGATTGTCTTTTTACCTTTGGAAAATTTACATCTGCACCGCTACTCGTTAAGGAACAAAGTTTAAAATAACATTTTTAACACAAATCTGTTATTTTAAGCTTGGTTTAATTCTTAACGACTTGCAGTTTGAATAGGTCATAATAATTTTAATTAATAATTTGTTTTTTCATTCCAGGTTCCAACATGGCAGCGGCTGCAAACCTACTCCGACCGCACCCCTACCTATCCCCTCTATTCCGCAACACACCTATCACTACCCAACACACCACCCGCGACACTTCGGGAAGATCCTCAGAATCAGATAGCGGCGCTTCCTCTGCAGACCCAGAAGACGATCTCCGTTCTAACAGCGCCCTCAGCTTCTTGAAATCCTCCGCATCGCCGAACAGCGACCGCGAGTTCTACACCACCAAGAAACTACCCTCACCCTCCAGTGACTCTGAATTCTTCGCGCGGAAAAAGTTAGTGAGTGCCTTAAACGAAGTGCCTAGCCCCTCACCTACGTCACTGCCCAGCGTGTCGCCTAGCGGCGTGGTTCCTAAATGGCTGCCTCCTTTACAAGGTTTGGCCGATCCCGCTGCTTGGAGGGACATCTGGAGGGCTCCACCGCCTATCGCGGCTCCTGCGCCCGACCAAGATCAACCCATCGATTTGTCTGTGAAATCTCAGAGTGCCTTATCGCAATTATCAGATAGATCTGATGAAGATAGTGATCAAGAGATAAATATAGACGTGGGGATGGACGAGCCTTTGAACAAGACGATGCCTTTGGATTTGACTTTGGACAGGCAAATTGGGGACGTGACAAATTGAAAATTATTGTGATTGTAGTGTTTAAAAGTTTTTAAAATGATGAAATAAATTATACAGCCCAACAGACATTCTGGTGATGCGATTTTGTAGGTAATTTTTGAGTGAAGTATACAAAATAGCCGTCAGATTTGGTGTATCAGATCTAGTTTTTGAGATATCCTATATTGAACTTTTTAATTGTTTAACGTATGTACATTTCAAAATAATACTGCTAGGAAAAAGAACAAATAATACAAAGTAACGTATTATTTCACAAAGTAAATTAGTTTTCATTTAATAGACTTTCTAGCATGGAGTTTACCAAATGACAAACGGTTAAATAAGTAACTAATATTCTTTTTTTTAAGGTGAAGGGGGAGAAAAAGTCCTTTATATCTCACAAGGAAAGTCAATGTTTAATTATTTAACAAAACATTGAGTGCGACCGGTTTCGAAGTGTCATCACTTCATCTTCAGGCTCGCCTAGTGGAAAGGAGAATATGTGGTGTAAGGTGTGTTAACACTTAGAGCAAACGATATATAAAATAGTACAAAAGAGAAAACTCACCATACTCTCCATCCACTAGGAAATACTACAAAACAAGTTTCATCAAATGTTGGGTGAAATAAATTTTAAAATGAACAAAGTTTACAAGTAATAAAAAGTTAAAAATATTTGAAAAACAAATATTAGTCAATTATAATAGTAAAATTTAAAATATTCAAGACTATACAAAAACAAATCACATACATTAAACAGATTAAAAGATAAGGCTTATTTTAAACAACCTTGTTTTTTCAAAAAACTAACATTTTTGAAAATAGACCTGTCAAGTTAAGGCCTCTACAGGTGGTGGTAAGTATTAACAAAAAAATTCTTGGGTAAACCCATGACAGGGTATAGGTAATAAGATGTAAACTATGAGTGAAGAAATAATTATTATTTATTATATAAGATTTGGGCCATGAACCAATCACCAAATGTATGTGATGTAGGAAGAAGAAATAAGAAGAAATGACTGGGTTAACTGTTGTGAAGCAACTGAAGAATAAAAGAAAAGAAGAAAATGACGGATGTGAAATCACACAATCTAACCTAATCTTTAAACGTGCTCGTTGGTTTCTTATGGGAAAAAAATTACTTACTGAAATGTACCCCTTGCAAGAAAATATGTGAATAGAAATAAAGGGGAGGATAAAAAGGAAGTTAGAAAGATAAATTTAGATTAGTGTTGAGAAAACAGGAGGAGTTTCTGACATTATCTGGGCATTTAAGCAACCAACAGGATTTAATTTTAAATTTCTCAATATCTCGAGGCTTTCGAAGCTATTAAGAGTAAATCTATGGTAGGAACTATGTAGGATTTCGAAACCTTCAGTTGAATCGAAGTCGTGATTTAAGTCCAGTAGGTGGTTGGCAAAATGTGAAAAACCTGTTGTATTTTGGTTAAGACAACGCAAATGTTCTTTTAAACCGATCTTGAAATTTCGAAATGTGCGTCCCACATAGAAAGAATGGCAAGATTTACAAGTTAATTTATAAATTCCAGATAAGTCAAAGGGATCTAATTTATCTTTATTATGAACAAATAACTTATGTAATGAGGAGGGGGTTTTGAAAGATACTTTAAAGTGGTCTTTAAGTAAGCTTGCCACTTTATAGGATGCTTTTCCAATAAAGTTAAGAGAAATGTATTTCTTACTGGTGGTTAGTTCATGTACCATATTAGGATTGTTAATATAAACTAAGTTTTGTTGAATTATATTTTGTTTATGTGTTAGCATTTTATCAATAATATCTAGTTCAAAGTTGTGATCTATAGCAATAGTTTTAATTATATTTAGTTCCTTATTAAAGTTTTCCGTAGACAGAGGAACGTTTAATAGCCTCTCTAAGTAGCAATTAAAGGCAGCCAATTTATGTGTTGCTGGATGGTTAGAGGTATTGTCTATAACTGTGCCTGTATGTGTTGGCTTTCTATAGATGTCAAAGTTGAACTTGTTATTATTGTGTGAGATTTTAAGATCTAAGAAGTTAATAGATTTGTTTATTTCAATTTCTAATGTGAATTGAATATTAGAATGTAAGTCATTAATATAAGTCAAGAAGTCATTTAATGAGTCTAAGTTACCTGACCACAAAATCAAAATATCATCAACATATCTATAATAGAATTTCACATTTGAGTGGAAAGGGTTGTTTTTAAGGATTTTTTCTTTTTCAAAATTGTGCATAAATATGTCTGCTAATATTGGGCTAAGTGGAGATCCCATAGAAAGTCCATTTGTTTGTGAAAAGATTTCATTGTTGAATGAAAAAAAGTTTTGTTCTAAACAAACCTTGAGAAGGTTCAAAAATTCTACTAGTTCAATATCAGACATATTCGAACTTGACAAAACCTAGAACCTCTGGTTGGTTGCTTAAATGCCCAGATAATGTCAGAAACTCCTCCTGTTTTCTCAACACTAATCTAAATTTATCTTTCTAACTTCCTTTTTAACCTCCCCTTTATTTCTATTCACATATTTTCTTGCAAGGGGTACATTTCAGTAAGTAATTTTTTTCCCATAAGAAACCAACGAGCACGTTTAAAGATTAGGTTAGATTGTGTGATTTCACATCCGTCATTTTCTTCTTTTCTCTTTTATTCTTCAGTTGCTTCACAACAGTTAACCCAGTCATTTCTTCTTCTTTCTTCTTCCTACAACATCACATACACTTGGTGATTGGTTCATGGCCCAAATCTTATATAATAAATATTTCTTCACTCATAGTTTACATCTTATTACCTATACCCTGTCATGGGTTTACCCAAGAATTTTTTTGTTAATACTTGCCACCACCTGTAGAGGCCTTAACTTGACAGGTCTCCTTTCAAAAATGTTAGTTTTTTGAAAAAACAAGGTTGTTTAAAATAAGCCTTATCTTTTAATCTGTTTAATGTATGTGATTTGTTTTTGTATAGTCTTGAATATTTTAAATTTTACTATTTCAATTGACTAATATTTGTTTTTCAAATATTTTTAACTTTTTATTACTTGTAAACTTTGTTCATTTTACAATTTATTTCACCCAACATTTGATGAAACTTGTTTTGTAGAATTCCCTAGTCTATGGAGAGTATGGTGAGTTTTCTCTTTTTTACTATTTTATATATCGTTTGCTCTAAGTGTTAACACACCTTACACCACATATTCTCCTTTCCACTAGGCGAGCCTGAAGATGAAGTGATGACACTTCGAAACCGGTCGCACTCAATGTTTTGTTAAATAATTAAACATTGACTTTCCTTGTGAGATATAAAGGACTTTTTCTCCCCCTTCACCTTAAAATTACCTCAACTCACACATGACTACCCCCCTTGTCAAAACTAATATTTGTTGCCGTTGTATAAAAAACCATCAATCTATTGTGTATTCTAACAAACTTACTTTTTAAGAATCCTATCTCTTATATCCTTACAAAATACCATGTTATTTTCCTGAGAGAAAAACGCAGTAAGTCCTTATTTCGTTTAAGATAAAATAAAATATTATTACCTAAAAAAGCAAATTATTTTCATTAAATCTAATCTTAGAGCTACAATCTCAAAAACTAGAGCTGACACAAAAAAATTGCAGGTATTTTTGAAATCGACACAATTAAAATTTTGAGTTTAATTTGTCTCACTTTAGAAATATCCTAAATCAATTCTTATTTTTCCGACATCAAAACAATGATGTCATTTTGTTGGGCTGTGTTATATTTGAAACGTTTTCAAATGATTTGCTTTCTAGCTACTGTCACAGTTTGTTCAGTAGTTGTTCAAGACAAAAAAAATCATTTCTTAAAAGTTTTGTTTCAATTTTTATTCATTATTTGGTAAAATATAATTTTTTGTATATTTAGCTGTATCTAGAGCAGTGGTCGCCAACCTCTCAATGTGTTGAGTTACTTTGTTAATTTTGGAATAAACAGCGAGCTACCCACACGGAAGCCACGTAACGCAACGTAAATGAAATAATCCACAGTTAATTGTATTTATTTTACTATTTAACTGGTAATACATAATACATAGGTACTAATAATAAACTAATAACAAAATAACTAATATTACTAGTACGTACTTATTCATAGCTACATTCCTACCTACCAAACGAAGGTGTTTGAAAAATAAACACAAACTTTTATCCAGCCACAACGGCATGTCACGTAAGATTTAAAAATAGTTAATAATAACAACAAAAAAGTAACGCACTATCATGAACATAAACATTGAAAAATAAAAAAGCACGTTCAATGAGAAGGCTAACACTTCAGACTCATCGATAATTTTTTTAATGTTTGCAGTATAATTTGATACAGCCATTCGAATACAATTATCCAAATGTTTATCTGTAAGTCGATTGCGATATTTGTTCTTAATAAACTTCATATTGGAAAAAGAAGATTCACACAAATAGGTTGAACTGAATAATGCTTTCACTTTCAAGACAACACGGCATACAACTGAATATTTGTCTTTACTTACAATAGGCCAGATACATTTGGTACTTGAGACTAACCATTTTAAGGCTAAATCATTTTAAAACTCAATTACTTCCATTTCTGTTGCGATGTCTTCGCCAAAGTTCTGCATAACATAAGTTGCAAACTGTTGGATATCAATTTACAAAAGGGCGATGCAACAAACTGCGCTACTAAAGCCATTCGTTGAAATCCTTAAAACGATTTTTGAAGTTATTCTTCAGGGTAGAAACTATTTCTACATGATATTTGCTGTCATAGGGTTCTAATGGATTTTGAGATATTTTTTCTGAAAGAATAGGAAAATGCTTGGCATTGCTGTTAATTAGGTTTTGTTCCCAAAACTCCAGCTTTTTGATAAATGCTTTTATATCAGAAATCATTTCCGCTAGTTCTTTGTCTCTCCCCTGAAGCTGCAAATTAAGTTCATTTAATTTCTCTGTAATGTCCACGAGAAAACCAAAATCTCTAAGTCAGATTGAATTTTCTAGTTCCGGAG